AATAGTGTATTTAGTGACCATAGTTGATTGACATTTCTTTGCAAACCAGACCTTTCACATAGTCCATCTCTAGATAGAATTCTTTGTTGATTTTCCTAATCTGTCACTTATTTTTTTAATGTCCTTTACTAAATAGAAATCTTAAATATTTATATTATTGTCTTTTTTTGCCTTACAGTTTCTGTTTTTTTAGATCTTGTTTTAGGAGTCTTTGCCATTTGAACACAAGCTGGATATGAGATAATAATACTGAACTGGGGGATTTTCATCATTTTTGTGTAGGTATAAAAATGTAAAAAAATAAAATGGTCTTTTCCCATGCCGGGTCACACACACAAAAATTCTCTATACCTTCTACTATTAACCTTATGCATTAATCATTCTCATTTAGAGCTTCAATTTATCTGAGTCTACCTTCCTATATGATTTAGTGTATGAATATGATTTTATCTTTTTCCATATAGGCAGTTGTCCTAGTATGATCTACCAAAATCTGTTCTTTCCTATTGTCCTGTGTGCTATCTTGAACAATCTATCTTGTCCCTGTATATTCATGGGACTATTTCTGTGCCCCTTCTTCTGGTCTATTATCTTGTGTGTGTCTGTTCCTGCTCCAGCAGGACTCCATCTTATTACTACGACTCCATCTTACTACTAAGATGTATTAGTATTCTAGTTATACTAATACTAGTATAGTATAACTAGTATAACTAATACTAGTTATACTATTCTTATTGTCTGGTTGAACAAATACCCCATTATACGAATTAGGATTATTAGTTTGGCTGTTTTAACAGATATCATAAATCAAGAGCTTTAGCAAAATGAAAGCTAATTCTCTTTTGTAGAAATTTCTGAGATGGTAGGCAGTTCCTACTCACATGGTCACCCAAATTTCCAGGTTCCATCAACTCTGTTGTTCCTCTATTCCCTTGCATGATACTCATCCACTGGGAGAAGGTGGCTCACTGTTCTAGCAGGCAAAGAGAAGAGAGAGATGTCCTTTAAAAGACATGGCCCCAAAGTTGCCCACCTGTCTATTCACATTTCATTGACCTAAACTTGGTTACAAGCCACAGCTCGCTGCAAAGGATTTTGGGAGATATGGCAGCTAACCAGGCATCCATTTGTTTGGGCTAAAACTGGGGAGTTCTATACAAAGAAAAAAAGTGTAGAAAGAATAAGGAGGGACAAGAACAAGTGTCTGCCACACATTCAATTTTGCTATTCCTTTTTCAAAATTGATTTACTATTCATGGACCTTCATTTTTTCCATGTAAGCTCTAGAATGAATTTCTTGACTTCTCTGAGAGATCTAGCCAAATTTTTTATTAAGCTTGCTTTTCAATTTACAGATTACTGTGGAGGTTGTTAACATCCTTACTATGTTGACTCATCTCATTTATGGATATAGAATATCTCTTTATCTTCTCAAATCTTTTAAAATTTCCTTCAGGAGACAGCCTGTTCTCTCCAAGAGAGCTTTGTTTGCTTTCTGTTAGATTAATTCCTAGATAGTTCATAGGTCCTATGATGTTGTGAATAGTATCTCCGTTTTGATTATATGTTCTGGCCAGTATTGCAGTTACAGAGCAGGGAGTGGCAAGCTATGGCCTGTAGCTCAAATCCAGCCCCTGGCCTGTTTTCATATGACCCGTGGAGCTAACACTTGTTTTCATGTTTTTAAAGGGTTGTTAAGAAAAGAAAGGAAGGGGGGAAAATGTAGGATAGGAACCATCTGTGGCCTGCAAAGCCGAAAATCATTACTATTTAGCCCTTTATAGATAGTTGGCCAGCCCCTGGTATAAAGGAATGCTGTTGATATTTTTAAGTCAGTGTTTCATCTTGCCATGGCACGAGTTTGCTTACCATTTCTCATTATTTTTCTGTTGATTTACTTGGTCGTCCATGCAGCTAATAGGATTTCCATAAATAACAGTCTTTTCTCTTCTTTTTCAATTCTTACACTTCATATACATTTTCCTTGCCTTCCAGCTTTAGCCAATCCCTGTAATACTATTTTTAGACAAAAATTTAAAAAAAAAAGCCAGTAGTGACAGTTTAAGTATAGTTGTCTTGTTCTAAATCTTAGAATGGGGCACCTGCCTGTCTAGGTCAGAAGAGCATATGACACTTGATCTTGAGGTCATGAGTTCGAGCCCCACGTTGGGTGTAGAGATTACTTAAAAAATAAATTCATTAATTAAAAAATAAATCTTAATGAAAATGAACCTAAAGTTTCTCCATTAATTATTTTTTATAGTAGGTTTTTGGTATATAAACTTCAGCAAGGAAATTCCCTTCTATTCTTGGTTTTCTTGGAAGCTTTTAATCCAAAATAGTTGCTAGAATTTCTTAAGCGCTACTGAAATAATTGTATGATTTTGTCCTTTTACTCATTAATGGGAAAAATTGCATGACAGCTGTTCTGAGGTTAAGCTATCCTTAGACTCCTAGAACAAACCTCATGTCCACTATGCTTGTGAGTTAAATAAGTCTATAATTTCCTGTTCTGTCCCTATCATATTTCAGAATCTAGATTATACTAACCAGCCTTACTAAATTAATTGGCATCGCTCCTTCTTTGTCTAATTCTGGAACAAATTTTGTAAGAGAGCAAGTTTAAAACAACTCACCTATGAGACTATCTGGACCTAGACATTTGGAAAAAGAACTGTACTATCATCTCAATTTTTTAAATAACTATTGACCTATTCAAGTTTTTTATTTCTTCTCGAGTCTGTTCATCATTTTATGTTTTCCAGGACTTGGTTCATTTTGCTTAGCTGTATCAGTTTATTATTATGTGGTTATTCTTACTATTATCATATTCTCAGAATACCATTCCTTTGTAGTTATTTTCATTATACATTCTATTTGCATATTTATTCTATTTTGTAATCAGTCATATTGATTTATTCGAAGAAGCAACTTTTGGAATTTGGCACTCTTTTTTAAACTATATTTTCTCAAATTCCTTATTTATTATTTACACCTTCTTTCTTCTGTTTGCTTTATTGCTCTTTTCCAACTTCTTGAGCTGAATCTTTAGCATGTTTGTTTCATTTATTCTTGTTTTCTGATAAATAATCTAAAGCTGTATATTTTCCTGTGAGTCTTTTTTTTTAAGTTGTGTCTCAAAATTTGGCCATATAGAATTTTTATGGTCATTCAAGTCTAGGTATTATATAACTCCCCCTGGTGATTTCCTCTTTAATCCGGGTGTAATTTACTAGGATGTTATATAGTTTCCAGACATTCAGAATGTTTGCAGTTATCCTTCAGTCCCTGATTTATGACTTTATTGCGTGGTTATCAGAGAACATAGTTTTATGAAGTTGGTTCTTTTAAGCCCACATTGAGGCTTCCTTTGAGGCCCAGCACAGGGACAATTTTTGTAAATGCTTCATTCATGCTTCGATAACGTTTGCATTCTCTGTTTGTGCAAACTTTTATCTGCCTATGTAAATTTCAGTTTGTTAATTGCATCTATCAATTTTTTTACATCATTTTTGGTCAGCTTGGTCAATCAGTCTCTGAGACGTATTAAAACTGACAACTAGAACCACCAGTTTACCAAAATAATCTTTCTAACACACACAAAAGAAACTTCATTACTCCCATTGTTTTCAAAAAAAGAGAGAGAGAGAGAGAGAAACAAACTCGGCTGGGCTTGGGCTAATACCTCTCTTACCCAGGCCTGGCTCACCTTCTCCATCGGTTCATCACTTCTCATCAACAGCCTCCCACCCCCAACACTCATGCTGCGCTCCCACCACAGTGGACTCCTTGCTGTGCACAGACATGAGGGACGCTCTTCCTCTCACGCCCTGTGTCTGTGCATTGTGACTCTTCCCCCTGGAATCTTTTCCTGAGGCTTATCTAGCTCCTCATAAATATCCACTTGCCCTTCAAGATTCAGCTCAGGTTTTTCCAACCACATCCACGACTGTGGCCCCACAGACACCTGGACCCCAGCCAGGCTTTGCCACCTCCAGCTCCCCTAAGGTGCCATGCCCTCTTCCACCTCTGAGGCTCTTCCCCGGGCTGCTTCTCCTCCCCAGATGCTCCTGTCTGCCACATCTTCACAACCTCAGCCTGGCCTCCCTTTTTTTTTTTTTCCTCCCTTTCTCTTAAAAACTAGTCCCCCCGCTATTGTGCATGCCTCCTTCAGATACATCTTGCATACATCTTGCAAACATTTATTGGGTGTCCCTCCCTCTCCACGCATCCCCCATCCTCCTACCTCCCTACCTCTTCGGGCTATGCTTGTGCTTGACACTGAGTAAAGCGATGAATGAGACTCCAGGGCCTTCCCTGGAGGGACTCATATTCTGGAATCTAAAGTGGCAAACTCAAATGCAAACAGGGTCCAAGTAGGTGCTATAAACCTGTCAGCAGCCAGATGGGTATTGTGAGACTCTGTCCTATGCAAGGGCACAGCTGTACCTCAGCCATCACCATGGGTAGTGCTTGAAAATGTGGGTCCCGCGTTACCCCATTGCCCAACTTTTCAAGAAAAGCCATAAACTTTAAAATGTTGCTAACGGGGCACCTGCGTGACCCAGTCAGTTAAGTGTCCGACTCATTTTTTTTTAAGATTTTATTTTTTTATTCATGACAGACACAGAGAGAGAGGCAGAAACATAGGCAGGGGGAGAAGCAGGCTCCATGTTGGGAGCCTGATGTGGGACTCGATCCCAGGACCCCGGGATCATGACCTGAGCCAAAGGCAGACACTCAACCACTAAGCCACCCGGGTGTCCCAAGTGTCTGACTCTTGATTTCAGCTCGGGTCATGATCTCAGTGTGGTGAGATCGAGCTCCATATCAGGCTCTGTACTCAATAATCACTCTGCTAGAGGATTTTCTCCTCCCTCTGCTCTCCCCACCCCACACTTGGTCTCTCTTTCTCTCTCTCTCTCTCTCTCAAATAAATAAATACATCATAAATAAATAAATATTTTTTAATTTTTTATTTATTTATGATAGTCACAGAGAGAGAGAGAGAGAGAGAGGCAGGGACACAGGCAGAAGGAGAAGCAGGCTCCATGCACCGGGAGCCCGATGTGGGACTCGATCCCGGGTCTCCAGGATCGCGCCCTAGGCCAAAGGCAAGCGCCAAACCGCTGCACCACCCAGGGATCCCCATCATAAATAAATAAATAAATAAAACATTGGTAACTAATTCAAATGTTTCTGAAATGGTGCTAAGCAAATGGAGTGAGCCTGTGGGCTCCTGCTGCCCAGGCTTCAGTCTCTGTTCTGGAAGCATGTGAAGAAGGTGTCAAATCCAGCCAGAAGGGAGATTCCCTGGGGAGAGGCCACTGGAGCGGGTGCCGGATGATGAGCAAGAGGGAACAACAGCACAGAGGAGCTAGGGAGAATGTTCCAGGAAGAGGGATGAGAGATCAAATAGTAATCTCGGTGGTTCTGATCAGCACTCCACCCCTCCAACCCAGGAGTAGGGAAGGCCTGGCAAGCCTCCCTGGGAACCCGCGCCTCCACCTCAGGTTGCACAAAAAGGACAGCCCACTCGCAGGGCCCCTCTCCGCCTCCACCCCAAGCCTGGCCCCCTGCACAGGACTGATGAATGTGGGGGAGGGACCAGGACCTCTCTTGCCACACCTGGACTGGCACCAGGGGAAGCCGGATTCAGGTAGCCAAGGCAAAGACCAGTGTGAGGCCCACTTGGTGGAGATAGAGCCCTGGCTTTGGAGGTGGTGATGAGTGGGGCAGGCCTGCAGCTCCTAGGCCTCCCCTCTGCAGACCTGCTGGAGGGCAGCCTCCTCTCTCACTGTGAGCCCAGCCAGGACGGCCCCAAGACAGGTGGACGGGAGGTTCAAAGCCAGACGTGCCCTCTGCAGCACACTCCCTTGGCTGGCCCAGCTCCAGCGGGTGTGTACCCCACTGGGTTGTTTTGTCTTTTCTGTTTAATAGAGCTTTCTGTTTTCTGAGGGGGTGGGGAATTATCGGAAGGCTTTGTGCAAGAACAGACAGAAGAGGGGCTCCCAGGTTGGCCTGGCTCAGTGCCGCAGAGCCGAGAGCAGGTATGAATGGGCTCCCTGTGCCAGGTCTGAGCCTGGCATCGGGGCCCCACCGGACCAGCATGCCACGCCCTGCTCCCCCCGGGGCCAGTCTGTGAGCTGCACACATCCACGGGGCACTCCTGGGTAGCAGAGGCTGCCCTGGTGTCTAAGGAAGCAGCTGCCAGGGACTGGGAGCAGCAGGTACCCCCTGAACATCTGCCCTGAAGTATGCTGAGTGCGGGGCTCTAGGGGCTTCAGAAAAGAATACAGAGCAGGGATGGCAGGGAGGCTATATCCTGAGAGGTAAGGGAGTGACAGGGAGAAGAGCATCCCGGGCAGGGGCCATAGCTTGGCAAAGGCACAAAGGTATGGGCATCCTGTGGTATTAGCAAGTGCCAACTAGCTCTCTGATGGGGCTGTATGTAGTTCAAGGGAATGGGTGCAGAGGGACTTGGGGACCTTGGGGAATGCCACAGAGCCTGAACTTCATCCTGCAGACAGTGGGGACCACCGGTGGCCTCTGGCCTTAGAAAAGCCACCTGGGCAACAGAGGTAGGGGGCCAGGCCAACCTGGGAGCAGGCCAGACACTGTGAATGATGCAACAGGTGGAATGTGCCAGAGAGAGAGCCAGCAGGACTTGGTGGTGAACAGGTGCCGGTGGTCAGGGTCTGCTGAGCCGCCAGCCCCACTGCTTAGGGCATCTGATGGCCACCAAGAGGCCTCTCTCCCCAGAGGCAGACCCTGATACCAGAGAAAGGCTGGTTGATCAGAAGGTTTCACCACAGAAGCTCTCCGTCCACTGACCTTTGTGGGGTCACCCTCTCTGAAGGCTGGAAGGGACACCTGGCCTTGGTCAGAGCCCCAGGGATTCTGTTCCTGGGACTCTGGAGCCATGTGTCCTCCTTTGGAGCCTCCTCAGGACCCTCTGCTATGGCCACAGGGGCCGAGGGATCCAGGTGAAGTCCAGGACACACTCTGCAGGGCGCCTTTGGAAATGAATCCCTGCCCGCAGCAGCAAGGCCAGGGGAGGGGTGGGCCTGGCAGTCTAGACAAGCTGACAGTGAAACCCAGCTCTCACTCAGAGACAGTGCCACCCTGGCCAGGTGTCTCACCTTCTCTGTTTCTTCAGGCCGGTCACTGTGCTAATTGACCTCAGGCTTAATTTCATCCAATCCTCATGAACCTCTGAGGCGGGTACTTTCCCTTGGCCTCATCTAATAGATGTGGAGACTAAAGCTCCAGGAGGAATTAGGCTCCTGTCCCTTAGAAGTTATAATTGCCCAAATCTGCTCGCACCAGAGGCCAAGCTGCTCTGTGTCCGTGGGTCTACTCACCCTGACCCTGTGTGCTCCTCAGGCCTGGCGAGGGAAGGAGCCCGCCCCTGGGAGACCCTTGCCTCCCACATCAGCTCCCAACCCTAGCATCCTGTGTCCTGGGAAGTTGTCAATCAGATGGAATGGCCCTGTGTCAAGTTAGTTTTCCTACCTTATTTGTTCTTTCTGCCTCAAAGCAGAAGACACCCCCTCCCCAATTCCTCAAGTTCCAGAAATTTTCAAATAAACCTCCTGCAAAAAACCATGGCATCTGTACCACGTGACCTTGGGCAGGTCACGCAGTCTCTATAAGTGGGGGACTGAGAGAGGCAGGTGCAGTGGGAAAGCTTCCCCAGCAGGAAAGTTGCCCCTCCCCTGGGGGTCAGCTGTTATAGCTGGTCCCATGGGTGGAGGCACGCAGGCAGGTACTCACACTCCCAACGGCACACACTTGGAGGCACACATGCTTGTGCTCCAAGTCATAGAGCCCCTGGGGGAGTTTGGACATAGTTGAGGGACCTGCTTCCCCCAGCCTGGCACTTCCTCCCAGAAGCAGCATGTGCTGGGTTCAGGGGCCTGGACAAGGCCTCTGGAGGAAGGGGAAGCAGGAAGATGTCCTTTCTACACATCCCCTTCTTTCCTTTTTTTTTTTTTAATGTTAGCTATTTATTTTATTTTATGTTTACATATTTTTTAAATTGGAGTTCAATTTGCCAACATATAGCATAACACCCAGTGCTCATCCCATCAAGTGCCCCCCTCAGTGCCCATCACCCAGTCACCCCTAAGCCTCCAGCACCTGACGCCACCTTGAGTCAACACATCAGCCAACCAGGCTCAGTTCCTAAAGCCTCCAGCAAAATGCAAGTTTTCCTCCTCGGGGAGGTGGGTTTCAGGGCTAGGCCTGCTCCCCACCTCCCCCGCAGCCACAACGCACAGCACCTATCACTGCAGCATCACTGGAGGGAGACACATCCCCTCAATACACCCAGGTCGCTTCTCAACCCTGTGCCCCTGCCAGTAATGCCCTTCCTGGGGCCCCAGCCCTCCCAACACCCTCATCAGCACACTCTCATGGGCACACACGGTCACATGCATGCACATTTACACCCCAGGACACACATCCACACTCACACATCCATTCACACACAGCCCGGCACATTTCGGTTCACACGTTCTGGCCCAACGTGGGGCTGGAGCCTGTTAGAGAACGCCAACTCCACCAGGAGAAAGTTATTCCCTTTAAAATCAATTCTTTCTCAACAGCTGCTACTTATGTCAAGAGGTTCGGAGCTAGCAAGCTTGAACATCTTTCAGACATTTCATTAATCTCTCTTTTCAACAGAAAGGGGAGGCCTCAAGCTCAGAATCATCCCACAGGGACAGCTGGGTGCTCAGTGGTTGAGCATCTGCCTTCGGCTCAGGGTGTGATCCTGGGGTTCTGGGATCGAGTCCTGCATCAGGCTCCCCTGAGGGGGGGGCTTGCTTCTCCCTCTGCCCATGTCTCTGCCTCTCTATGTATCTCTCATGAATAAAACAAAATCTTAAAAAAATAAATAGAACCATCCCACAGACAGCCACCTCTAGCTAGAAATTGTCATTTTTGCTTGTGTTCCCTCCTATAAATGGCAGATGATAAGGTTTTCTGGGTGTGGTAGTGGTCTGGTTTCCTTTCAAAGTGAAGGGTTTGTTGGTTTTGGTGTTGGTTTTTAAGTGAATTAATCTAAAGAAAAAGTCTTATGTAAGTAATGGTGTACGAAGTTCCAGAGAACAGCACGGGTGATAAGATTTGACTCAAGCCTCATCTCCAACAAAGCCCTCTCTGACCGCCCCCCTCGGAGGTGCCCAGAGTCTCTGGGTGCCTGTATTGTTATGGAAACTATGTGTTTTTATGTCTCCCGCCCCTGCAGACCCTGAGCACCCTGAGCCTGTATCCCCTGAATCCATCCCGGGCCTGGGGCTGTGCTTGGCACTGCATTTTGTGGAGTGAAGGCCTTAGCACCCACATCCTGGGCTTTGCCCGCTCCGGCCACCCAGTTCATGCTCTTGCACATTCCCGGCATCTTTGGAACTGGCCCCGTCAGAAGGGTCGGCCAGGGGTCCAGGGCACGATGATGCCCAAACCTAACCTTATCTCTTCCTGAGAAGCCCTGACCTCTCTCCCGAGGCCCAACTTAACTTTCTCCACTGCCCGCCAGACCTCCACTGGGATGTCCCCCAACCCCACTCCTCTAAACCGGCCACCAGCCTCCCCTCCTCCGCAGAGCACACTAGCACCACCGCTCCAGCCCTGCCTCAGTGCCCCAGATGGAAAGCTGTAGTGGTGGTGTTGTCTTTCTGTTCCTCCCTTAGGATCCTCTCCCAGTCAGGATCATGAGGCCTGTGGTCAGCACCTCCCTCCTGCTGCGACCCCCTTGTATCAGACTTTGCTCACTGCCTCCCTGAACCAGCCCCCCAGCCCTTGAGCACCTCTCCCTGCACGGTTCAGACGATGCTCCCCCCTCTTCAGCCCACCATGGCTCCCTATCACTCACAGAGAGATGTTGAGAGAAGACTGGAGTAAATGGAGCCCCTTCCGCGAGCTGTAAACCGTGTAGGTGTTCCACACACAGCGCCTCATGCCATCTTCATAATACCCCACCATCTCCATTTTACAGATGGGGAAACTGAGACTGAGAAGTGACATCAGGTCCAGAAGGACAGAAGCACAAGAAAGACAGTCCATGCGGAGGGAGTCGTGTACAAAATGGCATAGGGGGACGAGGGTGTTTTGTGAGTTGGGGAAAGGTCAGATGTGACTGGAACGAAGGGTCCATGTCCGCAAGGAGGAGGCCAGCAGGGAGGCCCGGGGAGCCGGCCTCGGACCTCCAGGGGAACAACAGGCTGCCCGGACTTCATACTGAGACTGGGGAGAGCAGAAGGCATCTTAGGAAGGAAGACACGTTGGAGCTGGATGATGAGGGTCAGACCCAGGTAGCAGGGAGTTGGGAGGAACGGGGACCCACTTCCCTGCCAGGGTTAGCCAGCTGGGTGT